TGGAGTTGTTAATCTGATGTTCAGTTTGAGAAAATGATTTACTGGTGTTGTTGGTAGATGTGGTATTTGGGGATGTGGACAGTTCAACTATATTGTTAAATTGGTGAATGCTATATTGCTGAATATTATAGGACAGTGTATGTCATTTCCATCCTTTAAATAAAATTTTATCATTGGTATCATATTTTTTAGTGCATAACATGAAAGGGCTTTTTAAATTTTATGACATTGGTGAAATTTTCTCACAAATTTACTGTCTAATTTCAAGCCTCATGTAATAGAAGAATATTAATGGTGCATGTCTTAGTTTTCAAGAAAAAATAAAATAAGTCTGTGTTTAAAATAGAAAAAAAGGATGAAAAATGAAAGTCAATTTATTATTGTCTTGTAAACGGAAATGAGATGTATTACAAAATGATAAATTTTGTGATTATTGTTTGTACAAAAATGAACTGTATTCCTGTTGCTCAAGGACACATCTCTATTGAGAAAATCTTTTTTAAATATCAGTGGTGAATGAGCTATAGAATAGATCTTATCATCCAATTTCATGAATTCTTAATAATAAGTATATTAATATCAATTTTCATTGACCTTAGAGTTTGATGTGTACAGGGTTCTCTTATTTGACTCTATGCAAAAAAAATCCTGCTGTCAAAACTTCCTGTTATCATATTGCTGAACAAGTACACAACTGTTGCACTCTACTGAGCAATACCTTCCATCAATCGTGTATTCAGAAATAACTGAGTTAATTTAAAAGAACATGAATGAAAAAACAATTTATCATGTTCTACTGTCAACTATTTCATTTAATTAATTTTATAAACATCAATTACAGCACAAAAATAAGATTTATCTGTTGCTAAACATGGCTGAAACTATTTTCAAAACATACCGTAAATTAAAACAATCATGGTGTAAAAGGAAAAATAAGATGTATCTAGACCATTACATATCATGTATTTCGTGTTCTACTGAATAATTGACACAGGGGCTGTTGATTTGACTATAATTGCTAGACAAGACTAATTAGAAATTCCAAGCTTTATTGCTTTATGCAGAGTATTCTTTGGTAGAGATTTACTGGAAATGCTTGGTGCCCTAAAGTTTAAACCAAAGTACCAAAGGTGACAAAGCAGGAAAGCAGAATGTATGGTCTTCTTCAGAAAGTTCATCTTAACTTTAACCCTCGGTATCAGTTTATTTAGGATTTTGAAGATCTGAGGTCAAGCTTATTCATTATCATGCAAAAATTAGAATTTCCTTGAGAATGGTACAGAATACCCTGGAATAAAGGGTTGTTTATTATATTGACTATGGTATTAAAATATTCTTGGGTTGTAATATTTAGTTATTATGATATATCTATTATTAAATATATTCTGACAAGTTTCAATTACTAGAATAATTCCAGCTTTTAACAGAATTACTCCATAGATAAATCTTAACTATGCCTTGTTCTGACTGACAGCAACAAGTTCTTACAGTTAGATTTATCACTAATACTGCCAGCAGCTCTACAACCAAATTGAAAATATTTCTCATACTCATACATTTAGCCTGACAGAACATTTTTGTTACTAGTAGAAATTTTGAAATCAATAAAACAGGATGTTAAAAACATTAATTCAGTTGTCTTGTTGCCTAAAGTTGATTTGTTAATGATTTGAAATGCAATTCTCCCAGTTGACGAAGTGATCACTTGTAATACAGAGTGACATAAAAATGGCTGCTTGTTAACAATGCTAGTTATAATGATATTCCACATTTGGTTACTGTATAATTTACTATTGAATAATATTCTGTTTTCTTCTGGTGCTATTGAAATTCCTTGACACGATGACACAATGGAATGTCATAATTCATCCATTTAAAATGAATTACTTTAAATTGTTTTCAGTACATTTTGAAAAGCTTCGTAGTTGACTCATGGCGTGGGGAAATATTGAGACCAAATATAAGGGGTAATTTTGCTTGACAATTTCACTTTGACATTGTCAATTGATCATTTTAGGCTTTCTTCATTACTCTCCTTTAATACTTTTTTTGCTAATTTTGTATCCATATTAAGTTTGAAATTTCTTTTGTTTGACAAACTTGAAAAAATGTGAGTGACAAGCTATTTTCAAGTTAAATTTTTCAAATCACATGTTGGCAAGTATGATTATTTGAAATCAACATTTCACTTTGATGTAATTTGTGCAATTTTATGTGACCTGTTGAAATTATTTTGCACAAAATGAAGTCGGTCGTCTGATCTAATTTAGAGATGAATGATGGTATCTCGACCATTTCTAGAGGCTGTTGCTAATTTCTTGTAACCTGTACAACATCGTGTGGTCTAATATAATTGACTGTTATCATTGTAATTGTTTTATTCCAAATGAATCATCACATGGAGAAGTTAACTGGTAATATTGTTACAATAGTACTCCATCTTATGTCACGCACCATTTCTACAAAGATTATTATCATCTTAGGCTGAAAACTATCAATTCAATCTTCTTTCTTTACAATATTACATCAGGTTTTCTTAATTCTTTTAAATTCTGATTTAAATACAGAAAGCTACAAGAATTTCATAGAACTAAAAGAAAAAAAACCGAAATAACAAAGAATAAACCAGAATAAGGCAAAAAATAATTTTCAATACAAAATAATGCTACTCACTGTTAGAAATATTGTATTTACAAGCCAAAATAGAGCACATTCATAGAATTAATAGAAAGATCATAAAATTGGATATAAAAAAGCTCAAGTTTGTCCATATAATATTTTCCAGAAGGTAGCCCTCCTATTAAGGTGATATAGTCTTAACCTACATTGACAGTCATGTCCTTCTTAAAAAGTCATCAATATCTGAATGTGTCATAGAGATTTCTGACTATATTAATTATTGACAGAATATTCATAAAGAGAAGATATGTATCTTGACATTAAATATTCACAAACTAACAAACAATCAAATATTACCTGAATCAATCAGTGTACTTGTAGAATTCCTGCTAGAGTAAAAGATGAAGTGGATACTTGTCAATGGAGACTTAGTATTCTAGTAGTCTTCAACTATCAAGCCATATGATTCAAGTGATTATATTCAGTGAAATGTGCAATGTGTCCATGTGTGTTCATATTTCCTGCAGGCAGGAATTTGGAATTTTTTTTTATTTTCTTGGAATTATTATTTGAATTATTCAATGTAATAAGTTTCTGGATAACTTTTATATAATTGTACACTTGCTGTAGATCAACAAAACAAGTGAAATGTTTGCTCAAGTCAGAATTCAAATCAATTTAATCTGAGTTAATTATTTTGCATCTGTAGTAAAAGAAGAATTACTGGATTTAGTTTTAGGAAGATACGATATAAAAATAATTGCAATAGATTATAATAAGTTCCCTTTTCTTCTATTTTTCAGGTTCATTCAATTGGTTGCCGATTTTCATACTAATTTCACATATACAAGCTTTACGAAATGGCATTGATAGAGGTAAGTTAATTATATTAAAGGTTCACCATGAACAACATGGCTGACTTTAGAAAAACACTTGTCATTGGAATTTTCGAACACGGATAAAAAATTTGGCTGTAACACTGTTACTGATTAGCTTGACGAAACAATTCTCGTTCCTGAAACAAATTAACTTCTGAAAATGGAGAACCATGCTTAATAAGCTTTACTCATTGACACATTGTGAAATTGGTCCTGAGTAAATTACATGTAAGCTATTGATTGCCCTGAAGACTTTACAGTTGAAGACTTTTTAAGTTGATTCCAAAGATTAGTCCAGATTGACCTCAACTCAGATACCTCAAGCATCATACACTACAGTACACTTTTGCAAAAATAAGCATCAATTGACATTCAAATACCTTAATATAGTATGAAATGCGTAATGCGGACACCTCAAGTTGTATATAGACTGGATAAATGCACCAAAAGCATTTCTTAGCAGCTAAAACCTATGATATTTAGAGAGATACAATGTAAGCTACATTTAAACCAATGATACAAGATAATACCCTATCTTATATCTGGATACAAATTGATTGCTCCTGCTGGCTTTACCAGGCTTACATGTTTCAAGAAAAGTTTTAACATCACAAAATGTTATTTTTCGCAAATCCACAAAGATATTATCTGGATTAACTGTTAAAAGGTCTATAAGTCGAGTTAAATCCAATGTATTGAAAAAAGCATTTTACATTTGGGTTTGTATTACATTGGATTATTTAATGTAATTCACTTTTAATATTTAAAAAAATTATTTTTGTTGAATTGGATTTTGAAAATTCATGGCTGTAAGCTGATTGCTTTGATGATAAAATCATTTAGCCTCTCTTGATGATTAATCAATTGCTGATTTTTACATTTTAGGGCCAATCAGTTGTGAAAAGGGACAGAGTGAAAGAAAAATTTGGGTAGAAAAGGGTGATTCTGGGGAGATATTGTCTCCGTCCTATCCAGCCAATTATTCAGTAGATTTATATAGTTCTTGGTGTCAAATAGAAATAAAGTCCTGTAGTACTTGTAAAATAGAACTTCAATTTATAGACATTAAATTTCCTACATGTGATGAGAAGGGAGTACAGGGACTTAATAAATCTAACAAGATATGCATTCCAGGGTAAGTAGTGATTGCTGACATGTTTCTCTCAACCTTATATAATCTGATGTTGTTAAGTGCTGACTAATGACCAATAAGACAAATTTGACCTACTTTATGAAGGATCATGACTTGAGGCACCTTATTGCCCAGCAGATGATAAAGCCATTCCTCTAGAACAGAGTTACTAAATGAATGGTGAAAGGATGCCATTTGGCATATCATAGCTTGTGCAAAGCTTAAAATGGACAAAAGTTTATAGGGCATGTTGCAAGATCTGTGATAAAATCTGTTCAGGCAAACCAATTTACCCAATCAACAATTCTTGGAAGATGATTTTTTTTTACAGAATTGCTAAAGAGTATATTTCTTATATTTACAGCTGTGATCATTTACATTTACATGAAGTAGATTATCCATATAATAAAATAACACATAGAAATTATCATCATGGCCAACAGAAATATTTATCTATCTCATCTAATTTACGTTTATACCATTGTATGTCTAATACGTCTACAGTGGATACACCTAGAAAATTTAAAATTCAGTTCCAAATATTAGGTAAGTTAATGTTTGATCTTCTAAGATGAAGACAACCTTGTTTTGTTGCTATGTAGCATTATAGAGCAATTATATCAAAATATTACATGTGGCTGATCACTGATCCCTGAATCTATTTCAAAACTAGTTTTAAAAAAAAAAAAATCAATTAATTTTATTCCGCAAAATCTGTTCTTCATTCGTCAAAAAATGTTATTCAAATGTGAAAATATCCATATTATAAATATGTCGAAAAATTATTTGTAAAAGGGGGTCCCAGGATCCACTTCTGTGAAAGAGACTTGAATCAAGAATGAGATTTTCTTTCCAGTGTTGATTATAATCAGAAAAATTCCTGAAACTGAAATTTTACAATCAAAAGTTTAGATAAAATTATAGCAATCTTGACATAAGAGGGGCAAGGAGTGCATCTAAATTTTGACAACATTAAATCTGGAAATTCCCTACTAGTATAAATCACCAACTCCTCTAATGAGGAATTGTGTTGTCCTAAACAGATGTTAGGTACAATATCATAGTAATGTTATAAGTTATTAACAGCTGTAGATTGCTGTTGGTATCAGATCTTAATCTTGATACAGAGTGGTATTCATGGTGATGTGAACACAATCTAATAACTGTTATTTATCACTATAAAAAATATTTAGTCACATATTCAGTTCTATCATGAGGGCATATAAATAACTTTCTATGATTTTTCATTGTAGATAAATATGAGTTAAAAGTTGGTCATGTTGATGAAAATTTAGGTGCTAGTGTTGGATGGGTGAAGTCTCCAAACTTTCCCAATGGTTACGCCATGAATGGAGAAACATTTTCTTTTTTATTACAAAATCTTGATCCATATGGTCATGTACGGGTAGTTTTTGATGATTGGGATATTGCACCAGATAGCCAGGTTAAAGTAAGTACAAAATATGGTCTATTGTAATATTAGATTTTAATAGCTCTTTACCCTTTTCTTTATTTTAAATTCTTATCACACCCTTTATAGTGGCAGTTCATCAGATAGCAGCATGAAGTATTAAAGTAGCAAACTCTTTTACCTTAAATTACAATGACAGAGTGACTTGATTATCACAGTACACATGTACTGTGTGTGGCCATTATAACTGGTATAGATGTGTTCTTCCAGCTTCTGATAGAACAGGTTTATCCCCATTAGACCAATTCAAAATTGAAATTGTCTTCGTCTACATTTCTAAATATATTGAAATTCTAGAGGGTAAGGCTCAACTGTTTTTCCTGATTTGGTCTTCTTGAAAATTTCATCCCAAGAAATTTAAATGCCATTTTGCTGATTTCTGTCCATTGTTCTCTGTAACATGGTTCTTTATAACCTAGGCCGAGTTCTTATTAAAATACAATTTAGTTTATGTAGGGTTATTTTATTGGGTATATTGTCTCCATTAACAAGCTGTACATAATATAAAACTTACTAATACTAACTAATACTCAGATGATATCAAATGACATCATTTCTTTATTCAATTAGCAGTGCAAGCAAGGAGGTGAAATCTGACACTGTACCTACTTTATACTGCTGGGCAGACCATCAGAAATATTCTGCTTTAAAAGTGGTTAGAATTCTGCAAGTGTTAAGAGTGGTGTTGTAGATTCTTGACCATGTCTGCCAATTGTAGAAAGCATCAAGCATGATAATTTTCTTTTAATTGTAGATGGACATAATAGTTTCAGACAATTTCCAAATTATTAATGGAACTATACAGAAAAAGACATGAAAAGTGGCACTTGAATTTATACAAATATTGTAAATAGTCACTGTAAGAGATTGTGAGAAAATCAGCAGTATTTTCTCAATAATTATTTTAAAATGGTCCCCCATGAAGTATCCAGACAGTGGGTCTCTACCATGGGAATAAAAATCAGACTGGATTAGGTTTCTACTGGGTAGGAAATAATGTCAATTACATACACCATTTATATACTGGTGTCTACTCTGACAATATCAAATAACTGTAGATGATTTAAACTAAGTAGTTGGAATGATGTTGACATGTTTAAACATCTTCAGACAAGTAATTAAAGACAATTAAACTAATGGAAGTGCTTTTCTTTGAGTGATTTCTTCCCTGGTATTCCATGATTTCTCATATTATGATTTCCACTAAGTATATATCTCCCAATGAGCTGATGATTTGAATGGTTTGGACAGGACTAGAACTGAGGTCTACAGACATGCATATGCAGTGGCTTATTTAGGAGGTGGGCCATTGGGACATGTTTCAGATACCACATTATTACCAAGACATTTGATACACTGTCTTTGCTCATCTTGTTACACTGAAGATCAGATCAATACTTTTCATCATAATATTTGAGTGAAAACTTGAAAGCTGGGATGACGATCTGAGGCTAGCCAGAGTTTATGATATACCACAATTTGGAAAGACAGAATAGGATGTGGACACAACTGCTCAAAATCTAGATGATTTCTCTGCATGTCTATCAAACTATCTGTCTATCTGTAATTGTACAAACTGAAACTGGTGTAATGTTACCTGTAATGTATATCATGTTAACTTGACATGTTTTTATTATCTCCCTTGTCTGCTTTTCTACATCTTTATAATCAGCTTAAAACAACAGATCTATGATAGCTGCAGCATTAGACATAGAAACTTTATACAGCAGTTTTTACACTAGAACAATTAAAATTCTAGAATTTCGAATCTGAAAGATGAGATAAAGTTCTGAGCAAAAAAAAAGTAAGGACTTGACTTTTTTGTTACCTGAAAAACTTAAATGAATCATTACAAATTACAATTTATTTTTTGAGTTGAATTCCTCTCAAATTCACAGACTTGAGAACTTTAAGTTTTTTGTGGTTTCCTTGTCTTGGAATTATACAAAAATTTTAGGCATTTCTATTTTTTCTAATAGTTTTATTTAAAGTCTGTCTATGCAATAGTAAGATAATATTCAATTAGATATTCATTGTCAAGGAGTGGGTGGAAGGAGAAAAGCCCAAAGCTAAAGCCTAATGCCTCATTTGGATATAGCTAGTTAACCAAATTGAAGATAATTTTCACTTTGGAATTTAACAAGCTTCTGAACAAGGTTTTCCAAATGAAGCTGTCACTTGTCACTTGTGGTAATTAAAAGGTCAATTCTTCTTAAAATAATTATCAAGACATTATACATACAATTAGACAAAATATTAGGTGGCATTGCCTGACAACAATGGACACAACCATGCCATTTTATGTCCACATTATTAATTTGAATATTCAAAATACTAAGTCATTATAACTCTGCTCTAATAGAAGTATTAAGAAAGATAAGCTACTTTAAGGTAATGATGAAGTCATGAATAAAAATAATGACTAGAAAATTAGCTTTCTCTCTGCTTTAAAAATGTGCAAATGCATGAAGAAAAAAGTGAGTAAGGTATTTTAGAGAAAATCTTCACAATGATGACATGTGAATCAACAAAAAAGAAAATGAACAAAAACAACACGTGTAATATGATTGATTTGTACCTTAACTTATGAATATTTTAGAATTACCAATTCCAAGCAAGTTAAAAAGTAAGCTTTCTGTAATTATGTAGATGTTTTTGCCTGATTTTGAAACATCTTTAGAATAATGGTGGAATGTATAATTAGGTTGTAAGTTGTTAACATTTACATTTGAAATAAAGTTGTTATTCCGTAAATAAACGACTTCAATATTCATGTTCAATTAACTTCTAGAAAAATTTGAAAAATAAAACTTTTGGTGTATAAGGAGAAGGTATACCACAAACAATAATGACAAGAAATTCTAGTAGAGTTATTAAGATGTTTAATGTGTTGAATAAGTATGAGATAAGAAGATGGTAAGGGGTAAACTATTAACATCTGGCTAATGGAATAAGATAATGCTCTTTATGCACTATAGGTAATATCTAAACCTATTCAAATTTATTATCAGTGGTCAACCCCCACTTTAAAGATAACTGTATTTAAAAAGTCTTGAAGCAATTTCAATATGTAATTGACATTTTTCTTTTCTAGAACTTGAATAAGAATAAGTTGATAAGATTGTAAAGAGGTTTTCTAGTCTTTGCATGTGTATTGGGTATACTTATAGCTTCCATTTGCATATCTTTGATTTCTGTGGTTCAGGCAATTGAAACATTCTTGACTACATTATGATGTCACTAATACAAATGCCATTCAATCCAAACGTAGTTTTTGCAATAGTAATGTCATATTTGATCAAATTTTTCTAGATTTATGGGACTCCCAGTCGTGAAAGTGCCTATCTGAATGGTGTAAATGGAAGCTGTAAGTGTATCAAAACTACAAAACAAAAAACTAAAAAAAGCAAGATAAGAAAACCTCTTTACAATTCATTAAAAATCATTATTTGAAAATAAGAAAAAAATGCTTAAACAGAATAATGGCAGTATTGTGTATTTTAAATGTTGATACAGAGATAAGCTGTTGTCTAACTGAGTAGTAATGTCAATATATCAGTGAAATAGAATAAAATTTTAAAAATTGGTTAATTACAGTATTTGGCTGAAGAAAAATTATTGTTAGACACACAGACCAGATGAGGCACTTCTAAGAAAAGAATTGACATTTAATGAAAATGATATTTAAATTTTGAGTAGTTAGATAGACTACTTTCTGATATATCTAACAATGATGTTTATCAGACTAACAACATGGACTCTGTAGGAGCACCTGCTCTGTATTTATTACAATAAGTATGGTAGACCAGAAAATATTGATAAAAACATGTGTGTTAATGACTGAGAATAGATTTAAATACCGTAATCAGTGTAATGACCACTGGTTCTTCGTCTTAATACTCTCTCCAACACCTGTAGCTAATTATTTATTTTTCTACATCAAAATGTCTATTTTATCAATAATAAACTTGTTACCTACGCTTTATAGTTTCCTGTTTTTCTGCCAAATTAGCCACTCAATGGTCCATTCTTAGTAGAACATAAAAAATTCTGACCATTTCACTTCTGTTCCAAGTTTTATGTTTCCTTCTCAAGAAGTTCTAATGATGTTGTGAGTTAAATGGAGCCTTCTATTTCTTGTTCTCTTTATTTTATTGATATTTGTTTAGAAAAAAATAATCTGTTTTGAAGATTACCTGACAAAAAATATCATTTCTAGTAGAATACAGTTACTGTCTTCATTAGTGAAGTAAGATGTAGAAAGTGGCGTGTAAAATTTAATATCATTTCATACTAATTACTTATCTACTTATCATAAATAAAGTAGAAACAATATACCAATATTTAGACCAGAAAATATTTCACTCTAAAAGATAGTTGTTCTATTTTAGTTTGCTAACCCATGACTCCAAATCTCAAGTACTTGTTGCAGTTTTGAGTTGAGAATATGTCTAGTTATTTGGGTGGGACTGAAAGCATATTAAATTGATTAAAACTTTTTGTAAGAAACTGAATTATACATCGCTATCTCTGTGTATGATAAAAATTTGCTGTACCTAAAATTCTCAAAATTTTACTCATTACAGGATGGCCCTGTAATGTTGAAATTGAATAAGTTTCAAATTATAGACATTTTTGCATGTTCTCCAGAGAATGATATGAATGGTACAAAAGCATGCAGTTAAAATATTTACATGTTTTTCCTTTTTTTTGATATAATTGTAAATATTTTCAGTTAAAGGTTGAGTTATTATGTTTTTCTAATTTTTTTAATGCATATATTTCAGGTATATGATGGTTTAAATATAGATTCCCCATCAATAGTATTAAATTTAAATAACAGACCTGTAATACTATCAGAAAGTAATACTATATTTATTGTATTTAATACTGGTACTAGTAAATTACCATGCTGTCAATATTCAGGATTTAAAGCTGCTTACCAATTTGTCTCAGGTAAGTAATTTTAATTATCTCAATGTAAATGGGGCCAAAATTTAATTTAAGAATATTTTTGAATATTTATAAAACAGTTGTTCAGTAATTGATATACCAACTCTTCATTAATGAAACTACATAATTGCATATGTATATATGACAAGGCAATGTTTATTTCAAGAAACTTTTAGTAAGAAGAAATGGGTAATGGAATTTGAAAATTAGACTGCTTTATGAGTTAAGAGCAAATGAATTTCATGTAAAATCCTTTTAACAAATTAATGGAAAGACCAAAAATCACAAAATATACACATACAAAGATGACAAACATGGTTACTTCTCAGTTTTTCATATTTTAAATATTTTTATTTCTTTACAGAAAAAGTATGGACAGAGCAACCTGTAACAGGTAAGCAAATTACTGTTTCGATCAAAATTGATGCATTGGTTCTACAGAAGTTCTCTTTAAGATAAAAAAAAAATGAAACCGCAATAATTAGATATGAACGCCTGAACAGTTCTAAATCTAACATAAACTGAATATTGTTTGATATATTTATAGATTGTAGTAAAATATATCCTATGAAATCTGGTGGTACAATTGAATTTTCTGGTCTAGCCTCTGCTTTTCCGACATATTTTGATTGTGTGTGGATAATAAAACGTGAAATTAAAACAGACAATCAACCTGATGGAGTTGTATTAAGAATTGGTGAAGTTCTGTTAGGTGATGGTAAGTAATATGTCTTTAACCTAGACCCCACAAATCTTGCTCTACCTCAGACATGAGATACAGATGTCATATCTTCACTATTTAGGGTCAAACATTCCATGTCATATTATATCAGAGGTTTTTTAACCCATTTTTGGTCACTAAATTTTGTGAATTTGCGTATATTCTTCAATGTCATATTTCCAATATGGTTCTACCATACAATGAAGGGACATGCCTTTCTCTTAAGTAAAATGTATTGAGGCCATGGTGCACACTTTGCCAGGTGTTGTTATTTGTAGATAGTTAAGAATATGTTATAATTATAGGTTGGATACAGTATAGTAAGAGTAATAATTTAGAGATAAGAGATGGTGTAACATCAGAAGGAAAGTTATTAAATAAATATACCTATGAGAATCTGAGTGATGTTAGTCCTATATCTACCACTAGTAATGGTTTCTATATTAGACTACGTGGGTCTTTCTACAGTACCGATAAATTAAATTTCATTTATACCACTTATAAAAATGTTACACAAGGTAAGTGATCACCAGTCATCTTGAATTTTGTTGAAGTAGACTTGATGAGTTAAATCATTTTATTGTATAAAACACCAGTGCATTCTTAGTTTACATATTATGATGCCCATTTTGTTGTTGAACATTATGATTCAAAATACATTGTGGAGCAGTTTTACTCAAGGTTTGTTTGGAGACTAAAGGGAGATAAATCTATATACTATCTATTGTAGAAGGATGTCCAGGCTACTATGATTTTCTGTGTAGCAATTTATTATGTATTGATCAAGAATTAATGTGTGATAGAGTAAACCATTGTGGAGATGGTTCAGATGAAATTCCTATCTTAGATTGTTCAGCATCAGGTAAGTTTATTCTTCAAAAAACTAGGAAATGACATTTTATTCAGATTCAAATATTGCAGAATTGATATTCATTATGTAATTCATTCTTCTATGTAAAAATTGAATTACATGTATTTGGTATCCTATCTTATTAACAAAATGAATTCTCTGACAAAGATGACTAGTTATCAAATTACAGATTGTAGGTCATATTTTGCCAAGAAATTTAATTGTTTTATTAAAATGCATTTTTTATTCACAGCATTATGGAAATTAAGTTTTAAATGGTCTGTCCCAGATTTTATTGGTGAGTTTTTAAAGTACTTGTAAACTATGAATGATTTGACATAATGTTCATTCATTTATTCAGTTGCATGATTCAAACACGTCCAATTGTATTATATATCCCACTTGGTAAATGAAACACTCACTATAGAAATCATTTTTTATTAAAATCCAATTCTTCAAAAATGTGAAGATTGTAGCCAAGCTGTTTGGTGTTTGTACAGTATAATATAAAGATTGAATACAAAGATTAATGATAATTCTAACTGAATATTCTATATTTGCAGGTGAATTATCAACAATAAAGAGTATTAAAACTGAGAGACCATGTTATCGAGGTTTTATGTGTGTTAGTGGTAGAGAGTGTATAGCCAAATCAAAACGATGTGATGGTATTAGAAATTGTATTGATGGCTCAGATGAACATAGATGCTGTAAGTTGAATCATTTGTTGTGGAAATATGTGCCAATTTAAATATCTTAATTTTTAGAAGATTATGTTTTCAAAGCTATCTGGGAAGAATTTGATAAAACAAAGATGACTCTATTAACCTCTTAGTTAAGCTAAGATATCAGATTAGAGATAAAATCAGAAATACAACTAGTCAACTTTCTTTTAGTGATATAAAAGTAAAAAGTTACATATTGAATATGTCACCTATTCTACTCTGTGCTCAACAAACAATACCTCTTATCTACTTTGTTTTTATTTTACAGATGCAAGAGCTGCTAATTCAAGTCAGCATAATTTTCAGCTCAACTCATTATTGATATTGATATTATTATTATTATTATTTATAAACAAATATGTGATATGTTAAATTATTATGAGTTTTGCCTTATTTCTGTGGGTTTGTCTATTTACTCAACACAACTCAAAACACTCTCAAGTCAGGTCGACTTTATATATTTTAAGGTGAAACTTTTACGTATGCAAATGAATTATTTATGCTTTTTTTTCACTGTGTATCATTTATACTCAAATAAGTAATCATATTATTTGAAGAAAAAATTTTAGGATTCAAAATTTAGTCTTGGCTCAAGTTTTAAATGAAATGCTATTGTCTGAGTAATTGAGTAAAAAGACAAACCCTACTTCTATTATACTTTCCATTGTGTCTTGCCAAAGAGAATTATTACTTTCAATTTATATACTCCATTCATACTCAATGTCAATAATTTGAAATTATCTATTTGAAAATGTATAATGTGACCCCACATTGAATTGAAACATCAACTCCAAATACTATTGCTTGTCAAAGATTGTCTTTGGGTTGTTGAAAACACCAATTAATGAAACAATTATTTTGTTTTTATGAATTTACAGAGGCATATTTTTTGGATCCAATTACAGTTGAACATTAAGACCAATGTAAGTAATTGAAAATTTAATTTTTGAATTTTTGAAGTAATTTAAAATATTCATTTCAAACATCACAGTGGTTTGAGAGTTCCAAATGAATTTCTGGAAATTCTGGATGTACAGTATGATCTATTTATAGAACTGTATTATACTTGTATTGTAAACATTATTACAGTATTGCATATATTTATTTATTTGAGAATTGATTTATAAAATAGTTGTAAATAATGAATATTAATGGCATATGGCTTTTCTTTGTTAAAAAGAGAAGAGTTCAGCTTTATGTACATTTGAAATTCACTGTCAGTGATTATACCAGTAATTGTATATATACCAAGTGTATATTTTCACTTAAATCTTATAAACAGATTGTCACAGTATAGAAATATTCTGATTGGTCGTATTATTATAGGTGATAGGGATTGAAAGCAAACATTTGGAAGCACAGTCCATGCCATCTTCCCTCAAGGAAGATTTGAACCCATGCCACATAATCGCTAAGCAGACAACAAGAGCTATTGCTAGTCCAACTGAATATTGATCCGTCCAGTACATTTATCTTCTCTTTTCTCGAATTAAATTTTATCCTGACTATATTAAAGCGTTAAATGATATAGATGTATAACAAACATTAGTTTTACAACTTCTTTAAAAAAAATAATTACCCTTTTTATCATTTCATGGTAGCTTTAATCACAACTTGTAAAAGAAATGCATGATAATGTAAATATTAATTTATGTATAAAGATTATGTTGATGTTTATTAATGTACACAATGTATTGTTGTTATTTGAGATAAATATACCAGAAAATAAATTTTTATAAATATCTTAGATGGTTTGGTTCTATGACAGAACATTGGAAGGTGACTGTGGGACATCTACTCCTAAATATTTGGGGCTACAAGCAACTGTTCTCTTTTATTCTTTTATTCATAATCAAATTCCACAGATTATTGTTATGCAAACAAAACACAACATTATTAAAGCTGTTTTAATTAATGATGATCAATGTACAAATGTATTTTAAACGTAAACAATACGATAATAAAAACTATTTAAAAACTGAGGCAATTTTACAAAACATGAGCTGGTTAAGTAAAAAAAAAAGTACAATTTTAAAATAAAAACCTTTAATGCTTTAATAAATTTTCTACCATGAAAATATATTTCTTTCATCTTTTTATTAGTGTCTTAAATAATTTCATTCATTATATATTAATTATTAAAACTGACTAAAAATAGGTTCTTTATTTAATATATTTGTCAGGGCATACTTTCTAAATATTCAACAATTCAGTTAATAATGACTAAATACAAAGATAAATAATAACAATTATTTTATTTACAATAACAACATCAGGCCTTGTATCTCAAAACAATACACAATGAACTTTAATTAGTTTAAAGACCAACAAAAAATATTCATCCTAAGATTATTTGAGAATAATTAGATATTATAAAGAGTCCAGGTCTGATTATTTGTGGTTTTTACTACAGGAAAAAATAAAGGTCTGCATTAAAACAAAAAAAAAATAAACTTGAGAATTAAGAAAAATAAGCATGATAAAAAGTGCGTGCCTTCATGTGAATTAATAAATATATCTACTATGTACATTTATATACTTAATATGCTATATTGTTAAAGATTATACTAGTCCAATATATTTGGGCAATTCAGTGTGCTGTCCATGTCTAAACCAATCATAAACACACACAGTTCAAATGTTTTGGGTTAAAAAAATAGAAATTGATTTTATAAAATTTTGAAAGAAAATTTTTATATTAAAATTGTAAATTTCAACCTCTGGTTTATTATAAAATATAAGAATTGCACTAATGATATAAAAACTTGTAATCAAACACTACAAATACTAACAAATTCACTAACATTACTATTAAAATACAATCTAGAAGATTATAAAAAATGTGGGTTTATCACAACTAAAAGACAATGAAAATGTCTTATATAACTCTTGCTGGTTCAATATTGTTACTAAACACTATTTAAAATGCTGTAAAAATGTATGATGATATTGAAAATGGAGCATGGTTTTACAAATTAAAGGTGATACAAATATACAGTAGGCACAACACATACATATATATTGCCACTTACGTTGTAAACATTTTTATGTAAATAATTTAATAATCATATTGTTTATCGTTTTCACAGAAAACTCAATTTTTTATTAGATAAAATAAAGCACTAAATAGATAAATCACATTAAAAGTCACTATTATGATTCTGATCACATTCCAATATATACCTTAATTGTATATATGGTCAAGAACAACACTGGCAAGTACTATAAAAAAAACCATCACACATTTTTCTTGGCTTGAAAAACTGTTTTTTAATTTTGTTTGACGATTAAAAAAGACATGTCTTCTGTCCTTTACAGAATATCAGAGTTTCTTCAAAAAATATTAACTATATTTTATGACAGTGAACTACTTCCAATATACACACTAATTTTACATTATGTAAAATATTACACTTGCACTATATAAATACTAACAGTGATAAGGCATGCAATAAAGGTGAGCACATCATAAATTTGTTCTCCAAAAATTTACAATAAATTAGTATCAAATTAAAACAAGTACATACTTTATGTCATAGACTAGCTACCTTTGGCAATATTGAATTCTCATAACAAGCCAATAAACAAAATGAACAAAAATTAACAAGGAACCATCTTCAAATCTACTCTAAGTAGAACTATAAGTATATTGGTATTTTGATTCTCTTTTTGTTTCATGCTGTAATAATACTATGGTTATTCCTGTTTTATTTTAAACATGCAAAATGTTTTTGTTAAGGTTTAGTATATTTCAATATAACACTTATATCACTTTAGCTTAATCAATTTCAGTAAATTATACAAATATGTCTGTATTTTCTGGAGGGTCATCAGCATTGACCTGAAGATTTAAAACAAGATTTTGTGTGGATTCACTAAGTCTTATGTTATCAGATGCACTCTGTTCTAATGGAGGGTTAGCCTCAACTCTGTCGGAAAATGATCCATGTGAAGGACTAAGTAAAGAAGTACTGCAGTTGGGACGTTCGGACCTGGAAGGGTCTACAGATCTTTGTGGCGGAGAGGGTGGTGGGGGCGGTAATGATTCTTGAACACTATGAGCACTAGGAGAGTCCCTAGATCTAGAGTTGCCTCCCCTTCTGTCTTGTCTTTTTCTGTGATTTTTATCACTACTGCTTGATGGTGACTGTTCACTTCTGGATGAACCTTCAGATGCAAGATGTCTATGTCTTGGAGATCTAACATGTGATTCACTACGTTCACCATTAGATGTCTGTCCATCATTACTTGCTCTCTTTTTCTGATATTTTTTCCTTGCAACATATTCTTGTAAGGCTCTACTGGTATCAATGTCTTGCGAATCTGAAGAAACAGCAGAATTAGGAGGAACAGCAGAAATACCAGCACCAGCAGCTTGATTCTCTGGATCATACCTCATTCCACATTCCTTTGGTGTGACTAGCTGTTGAGGTGGTGCATGACCTTGAGTGTGCTCAGCTTGTCCTTCGTTAGGTTTATCTCCTAAAGCATTAGCACTTACAATAAGGTCATCTTGAGGCTTATTCCGAGATGATCTAGACGTGGAATGGGGAACACTTGATGGCACTGGTTCACCTGGCCAATTAGGATTACCAGTAACTGTAGCTGCTGATGAGCTAGAAGATGATGATATCTGACGAGGTCGTTGATGGTAAGAACTATCAGTGGAAGAGCTTAATTCAGATACAGGTCTAGCAGCTGAGGCTGTGGTTTCAGTAGAACTAGATGAGAGATTATGAGATATAGAAAGCTGTGGTAGATCACCAGTAGAACTAATAGCTTCTTCATAAGTTGGTGGTTGAATAACCCCATCTTCAGCATTAGACCACATGAATGCCTGCAAATATAAACACTCATGGTCACAAATAAAAATCTCACTTGGCAAGGATTGTGAGATGCACAGTTAACACAGTTTTAATAAGGTAGAGTAAAATAACAGAGGAATAAATCTAAATATTGTTCATAAGCATGCCAAATACCATAATAAACCATGTGGACACTCAATGCCTGGTTGACTATTCTATTTTAAGAGTGTATCAGGTGACACTCTGATGTGTCAAAATAATCAGAGCTTGAATTCAAGTCTTTGGAATAAAGAGCAATAAAATGATCCATTGATTTACCATATTGAGATGTCCAATAGGTGTTGATCGTATAACTTCATCATATGTTGGTGGTGAATCTTGAGATATAGTTAAATTCATACTGATTCTTTGTTGACGACTTCTATGTCCTGTAAATATAATGACGCAACTTTTTTTCAAAAGTAACATTTAAAAGTCTTAGATAAAGTTATAAATTATCATTCAAGTGTTTAAATCTTGCATCTTATCATGCTAGAAATCATTGAAACTTGTAGAAATACAGCTAAGTTACCATGTTACAAAGGACAAAACTTTCTGTTCTGATCACCAAGTGAAGAGGAATTTATGTCCTACAGTGTTTATCTTTCCAAATGAGAACCAAAAATCTCTTTTACCGTTTAAAATTACTTTTAAAAAAACTTACGTCTGCCTCTGCCTCCACCACTCTGAGGATTGTGGGAGGATACAGTACTGATTCTCTGAGAATCATCAGGTATTGTACTTTGTAAACGTCGACATCTTCGTATAAATATAAGAAGTAAACATATAACTACTATCAAAAATACTGATATTACTATAGGAATAATAACACCAACGCTCAAGGTATAGGAATTCGGTGAATCTTCTGGCCTGGTATAAGTATCTACAAATAAATTCAAATTCAGAGATTTTCTCACTCAAATCAAAAATACAAAAATTCATTTCATTATGCTGACACCACTTTTGGATATAAAATAAAGACAGTTGGGATTAAAACATGAGTCAAGTTTCTCTATTTCTCATTTGTATCAGGAAGGTGGAGTCAACTATGAGGATATTTTTTAAGATAGACAACTTTGACTAAATCTGAATGACAATGGCAGGAAACAATTCAAAAAAATTCTCTTCTTAAAACTAACTGGTATCATATAATTATGGGGTTAAATGGAGAATGTCCAATTGTAATCAGTATGAGGTATTTTTCCTTAAAGATGTAATAAACAGACATCCGAGTAAGTGAGTGAGTAAGTCTAATTATAAACTAAACAGTATAACTTACTACAAGAATAAGATTTTTCATCTGAACCATCTCCACAATGATTATAACCATCACATACAAACTGGGAATTAATACATTTTTTATTATCACAGTTAAAATATCTGTCTCCAACACATTCACCTGTAGAAAATATAAATAAAATGTAATCTTCAAAGAAAATTTTATAAATTTCAGATGGCAAAATGCAAATGAAAATGGTTTAGCTATATTCCTACATGCATACAAAGCTAGAAAACATATGTTGATTTTGATTTTCTCTGAGATGAAATCAGAAAAAGTCTTGAATTGGAAAGGAAGTAACCTAGTTAAATAACGTGAAATATTCTCAACTATGCTTGGCGCTCAATTTTAAATCAATTCAACTTACTTACTTTAGATCTAATACAATTCTCTCAGATTTCTAAATAACAATATCAATTATAATGGATGTAAAGATTGTTGAATGAGAAAACTTACCTAATTTATAAGAAGCGTATGTAAGAATAAAATCTTTTGCATCTCGATATCTACCATATAGTCTTATATAAAACCCTGTATCTGAATCATGGCCATACAGACTACTAGCATCAACAGTTCCAGGACTAACAGAAGCTTTCAGGGTACCTTGTGATGTTAACCCATTCCTTATCTCCAACCTATTCTGAGAGTCATAATCTGTGGAGAAAATACACACAAATTTATTGCTAGAAACACAGGTATAATAAGATGGCTTATTTGTTCTATTAGATCTCTTTCCAAACCTGTCTTGTTGATTAATCATATATCTAAACAGCTTGAGACATTTAGTAACAAATAAAAGATCAATAAACTGAAGGATACAAAAAAATAAAACTTTGATCATTATTCAGAAGTCCAAATCACAAAAGCAGAATCCTAGTCCAATATATAACAATACGTAGTTCTGAATTTGAATTCACATATTCATGTTGAACTTTTCTATGAGAATTTCCTTTATATTCAACTTTTGTCAGCTGGATACTTGTGAGAGATTTGGAATCCCAATACGAGATATATTTAATAGACAGTTCTTCTCTGATACTAATGAAATTTCACTGTACCTCTAATGCTTTCAAAAGCTTCTAATTTACAGTAAACAGAATCATAACCTTTCTGTACTTTAACCACCCATATACAGTCATAGAAATCATTAATATTACTAGATGGTTGAAACATTAGAGTACCACCATCTCGGTTTAATATATATTCACCACAATCTATAATAATCATCATTAAACATGGTTAATAGTGAAATTGATGTAATACAAGGGACTTAATTTATAACTGATTTTATTCCAATAAAATAACATCGAAAATCACTGAGGAACATCTACAGAACATGTTTATAAGATATTATTCAATCATGACTCAAAATAAACTATTTCTTAATATTTAAACTATTAAATATTTTTTAGTTAACTTACTTGTTTCACGTCTTTGAACATATTTTCTCTCTGAAATAGAGTAGAATCAGGTAGTAATCAGAGAGTTTATATCATCTAAACTAGTATTAAACAAACAAGTTTCAAAGCACTAATGAATCAAAGAATCACTAATCTATAAAGATAGTGGACCACAGCCATATACGCCCACCACGGCATGCAGATGGTAAATATTCAAGATTTTGAGGCAAGGGCAATAACTCTGCTTCTAACGATCGAAAATAGCTCAAATTCGAACTTGATCATCGTATTATGAATATGTATACACATACTGAATTTCAATTGTTTCTATCAAAAAATCTAGTTTTTTAGAGCGTTTGCAAGCAAATGTTGACGGACGGACGGGGGTGCCGACAATATACGTCCACATAGATATAATAAACCGTGTTGAGGCTACTAACTGCAGGTAGAGGTAAAAAAAAACATTCTGTATTATACAGAAATTATGAACATGTATAAAAACATGACATTTCAAATTGGCATGTCAGGGAAAAATAAACAGTGTCACTAGTAAGACAGGTTTTTGTCAAGAGTTAGTCAGGACAGGCATGGTTTATATAACTCTGAGAATGAGGTTCTATTCCCAGGGGAGAATCCAAATCATAATTATGTAATTAATTCACCAGTACTTACTGTCATAAAATTTATAAGAAAGTTTGAATCCCATATAACTTCTGATTTGTGATGTTGAACTTTTTCCAGTTTTAAAATGTAACTTTATGTATGGTCCATTAGATAATACAGATGGTCTGCTAGCTGACCCTTTTACTGGACCCTGGATATTGGTATTCTCAAACTGTAAATATAATAGATTTATACAAACACGTGTTGGATTTAACAAACAGATTCCTCAAATTCCTAAAAGAACATGGATACTTTGTTTTTACTTTTTTATAACAATAATTCACAAGCCAATATGTCATGAGAGATTTCCTTACTATCTCAAATTATGACAACAAAGTCAAAAACACTTTCTTAATTCATTGGTCATTTGATGGACATGAACTGTATATTTCATATCTTTCAGAACAATAAACAGCTTCATTTTAAGCTTATTACTTCGTAGGATTTTTGACAAATCTCATTGAACACTAAATTCAAATCACAAAAATGTCAGTCTTCTAGATTTATATTCTTAGAATAATATACCTGTATTGTACTGTAAGGAGAAAGATTCCAGTCATCAAAAACTAAAAATACATAATCTTCATGATTGACAGCCCGGAATTCATATATATACTCTTCTGAATTCTCAGCATAATAATTAGGAAAGAATGGTGACATAACAATTTGGTTATATCCAGTATGAATATCTTGAGATGATCCTTTATATACCTCTTTCTTTTCTACAATACAAAATATCATAAAACAACTTCACACATTGAATCATTTGAGAACAGGCTTTGACTCTGTATTGGGAATATACCATTGTCAGGATCAAACACTGATCTTTGTGGTTAACAAGCACCTTGCTGAACCACCAGGACCATTGTTAGTTATAAACAGAAAAGAATTGGCGATTATAATATTCCATGGTTCAAGCTTTCATTTGAAATCTTATGAAAATTTTGATAATGAAAATAAAATACGAATTTTTTTTGAAAGCCAAGACAACCTCACTCAAGATTCAGGCCGCTCAGCAAAATTTTTTGTCACCAATGACTACAGGGTGAATGCTTATTTGAACCACTGAGTTGAAGTTTTACTGCTGATACTAATAAAACCTACCTTCAACACTCAGTTGTAGAGTAATATTTACATGTTTATATTGAATACCATTAGAACAGAAAACTATATACATTGTTTTAGATTCTGATCTATAAACATCAAATGGTCCAGTAAAATATTTTGTCGTTTCATTTCGATAGTCTGGATCAAATACATGTAGATATGTACATCTGAAATACAAACAATGTACTTAATGAACAAGTGATTTACAAATAGAAAAAAAAAAAAATGCTCATCATTTATTCACTATTAAAACCCATCAGGCCTACAAACTAGAAGATTGAGACACTACAGTAGTTACAATGGTTAAACAAAGCCCATCACAAAATGCAAATAGTCAATAGGACTATAAAATACTTTCAATTGCTTGAATAATTTATTTTCATATTCAGTTTTTCTAAATAATTGTCTGTTGAAGGTCTAAGTTGTGCTCCCCTAAAAAGCAATCATAGATGCTCATAGCTATGTAAGATAACTGGGCTTCTGTGGTCAGATTGAGAATAATCCATAATTTACCAAAGACAACAAGATAACCAACTGCCTGGACGTTGAGATTAAAAGCGATCTTAATTTATTTGACTTTGACTTACCCTTGAGTACATTTACTATTAGTTACATCAAGTTGTTTATGACATGTAGAAAAAGAGAGGTAAGATGATACAGATGTAAGATTCAGTTTACAACTAACACAAGTAGTAAACCTCATTAAACATTGTTGTTCAACATTTTCCTTAACACTAAAATAGACCTTCATATTACTTCCCACACTAGGTAGATGATCTCCATTTGGTATAAATCTATGATCTTTTTTGCACAGGTCTAAATCTGTAATAAATAACAATAGTCGGAGACGGAGATGACATTTGATTTTGGCTCATAGAATTTGTGTCATCAGACATGCACATAGTATGGCTGTGTAGAGTATGTGTAGAGTATGTGTATGTGTAAAGTATGTGTATGTGTATGTGTAGAGTGCATGTGTAGAGTATGTGTAGAGTATGTGTATGTGTAGAGTATGTGTATATGTAGATTATGTGTAGAGTATGTGCATGTGTAGAGTATGTGTATGTGTAGAGTATGTGTATGTGTAGAGTATGTGTATGTGTAGAGTATGTGTATATGTAGAGTATGTGTATGTGTAGAGTATGTGTAGATTATGTGTATGTGTAGAGTATGTGTAGAGTGCATGTGTAGAGTATGTGTATGTGTAGAGTATGTGTATATGTAGATTATGTATGGAGTATGTGCATGTGTAGATTATGTGTATGTGTAGAGTATGTGTATGTGTAGAGTATGTGTATATGTAGATTATGTGTAGAGTATGTGCATGTGTAGAGTATGTGCATGTGTAGAGTGCATGTGTAGAGTATGTGTATGTGTAGAGTATGTGTATATGTAGATTATATGTAGAGTATGTGTATGCGGGTGCGTTTGTGGATGTGATGAGTTGCACTGATGGAAGGAAGCATTTACAGCAAAAGACATGATCTTCGCAGTCTGGAACTATAGTTATCATGTATTGCACAAAATCAAGTGAGATGCCTTTACAGGCATTGGAGAACAAACAATATCTTCATATATGTGATGCCTTCCTAAAAATATATCAGATGAAAACAAATACATTTTTTCTTTTCAATTTAATTTTCATTTCAACTATAATCTGCACCAATAAAACGCACAAAAACTTTAACAAATTATTATCAAATGATTAATTTACTTCTTAAGATATATTGACTCATAATGTAGCACTTTTGGCCTTTTGCAGTAAACAATTATCCACCTTATAAGTAACACACTTCTAATTAAAAGATATCATTATCTGATCTTTGAATGGCATTTAGTAAAGGTGTTGGATATAATGAAAAAATTCTTATGGATTACAATTACTTACTTTATTTGAGTGACATTTCGACCAGTGTTCTCTGGTCTTTATCAAGCAATGAATTCAAATAAAGTTAGTAATTGTAATCCATAAGAATTTTTTCATTATATCATTATCTGCTTATAGGTGATGGATGAGAAGATATCATGACGAGTCATCATTTTAACATTCAAATGCAGATAATTCTAGTCACACGTGGATTTGAAGGCTCAAATTTTGACGGTGAGCTGTGATTTAACCATCTTGTTTTTGAGACTAAGGTACCATTGGTTAAAAAATGGTGCACATGTCCCTTAAAGAACACATGACAATCTTTTTATCAAAAATAAGAATGATTCAAATGATATTGAAATTCTGATTTGAGTTTTTTTAAATAAATAAATAGGGTCTTATTATCAACTGGATTTTTATACGCGTACATGGAAATGTGGACGTATATTGCCATCGCCCCTTGTTATATTGATGAGATCTCGGTCAAGTTTGAAATTGGTAATAATCGAATGAGCAGTTTCAAGAGTTATTGCCCTTGACTGAGTAAATTTATTTTTAAATCAAAAAATAATAAGATAATCTTTTGCAAACTAAGGACAATAACTGTATATCTTATCATAGTATGTGCCTAAAATTACTTTAAATTTTTGTCTATGAAGCTTAAAAACCGTAAATTGTGAATGAGATAGTTTAGCATCTGGGTGCCAACAATATACATCCATATATAGAGATGGGCTTATAAGAAGAAAAAAGATGTTACTTAGATCTACTTACTTTTGGATCTTTGTGTATAACTCAATTCTACCAGCACCAACAATATACCTACAAATTAAGTATATAAATTTGCTAGACATATAGTTGGACATGTTTGCTAGACATATAGTTGGACATGTTTGCTAGACATATAGATGGACATGTTTGCTAGACATATAGATGGACATGTTTGCTAGACATATAGATGGACATGTTTGCAAGGTGGAAACAATATTTTGGAATGTTACATGATGTATCATATCAAAAAACATTTAAATTAAGTCATCAAAAAAAATCACAATGAAAATGCATCTGTCTAATGAGCAAAATATTTTTTTATAATTAAATAACGTGAACTCATTTCACTTGACATAAAATATTTGTGACGGAAATTAAATTATCTACTTACTTAAAAATATGACACAATTAACTTTCCCCATTTTGAAACTTAATATTTTACACAAGTTCCATTTTTAAACCAGTTGTTTCAAGTTTTCAATCAATGGGTTCAGACCTTAACAGAAAGACATTTCAAAGTCATTATTAAGCTAACAGGAGAAGCTAAAAAATCATGAAACTAAGCCATTCATCAGAAAGTAAAAGGATAAAAAAATAAAGCAACAATAAGTTTGTGTACACTAAATCATACTTTTTCCATTCTATATGTACAAACAGACAGATAAAATGTTCAACTCTACTTTTTACTGGTAGGTTTTTTTCTTAATGTCAAATTCGAACCATTTATTTCAATATCTTGACTTATAAAAAACAGGGATACCATATCATATGACACGTCAGTTTTAATCTCACTTGAATACTTGAACCTTATTTTATGACATGCAATAACCTATAATTTCATTAGTGTTATAAAATAAAATGTCAGTTGAATAAATAGTCATTAATCTTATTCATAAAGACTCTACTGTAAGATTATATCATTGCATTTCAGTTAAAGCTGTTTTACTAATAATGACTTCTTTATAACTACCAAAAAATTAATGGACCTAAAAATAACTTGTTTCAATCTCTAAACTCTCTAACACTTAGACAATATTCTTCTGTATTAATATTGATGCTGGATTTAAATTTCTAGTTTCTTCATATGTCCAGGATTAAATTGTTAATTTCAGTTTTGTATATCAATAGGGGAGATATTATATAAATGTAGATCTATCTAAAACAAATTTACTGGAAAGACACACCCCCTTCTTCTATATTCTACCCACATCTTCTTACTTCTGAATTCTACCCCCTTCCTCTTACTTCTATATTCTACCCCATTCTTCTATACTAAAAATGAGTCTTTTGACCAACCCTGTTTTAACCAATCAAATTCATTCAATTTCTCACAAGACGCCAACGCGTAGAAGGCGTAAATTCAATTGGTTAAAGTAGGTTTGGTCAAAAGGTAATTTTGACGATTGTTCAAAAATCTGGTTGTTAGACCCTACTCTGAAGTTGCTATATCAATAAAACTAATTAAAAAAATGAAACGAATTTTAATTAGACTGCATATGAAAATGATTGCCAAAATTCAATTCAGAAAACAGTGTAGTCAGAGTAGATATTTTTGGTTTAACTTTCAGATAAGCTTATGGATTTCTCTAGATTTTGGTCCATTCTATTCATTTATTTCATTAACTTTCTCAACCTACTTAAAACTTACAAAATCAGACTGCTGAATTTAATTTAAGAAAAAACAAATAGTAAAAGGCATATTAAATGAACAAAATTAATAAGTCCAGATAACGTTGATACAATAAATAGTTTAAATCTATATAATATCATCTGAGTCAAGTAAGCGGTAATTGTTGTCATTTTAAGAAACAAAACAGACAAACCATATTTAACTTTTTATTAAGCAGTAAAGTAAATCTGGCTACTGTCTTGGCAAATTTGTTGGCAAATCCAAATTTGTCAATTATTTTAAAGTTTATTTGAAGATAAGTGTCAGTGGGCTACTTCCAACAATGACTTCAAAAGTTAGTGGACCACAGCCATATATGCCGACCACGGCATGCGTCTGGTAAATATTCAAGATTTTGGGGCAAGGGCAATAACTCTGCTTCTAACGATCGAAAATAGCTCAAATTCGAACTAGATCTTCGTTTTATGAATATTTATCCACATACCGAATTTCATTGATTCCATCAAAATATCTAGTTTTAAAAGCGTTTACAAGCAAAAGGAATTGAAAGAATTTTCATACAGTCAAGTAACCTAATTTCATGGAAACCTATTATTCGTGGATTTCCGGAAAGGATTAACAATTTACATGAGCGACCTTGCGCGACCTCAGCATTAGTTTGTTTTAATAAACATGGGTTTTCTCTACAATGTCAGCTAGTAGAATGAATCCAGTAGTTTCAAGCAAGGTAAAATGTATTAATGTATACTTTGACAAATACAAAATGGCGGATTTCACTTATTACCAAACATCACCATTTTTTATCGGCCGAATTTCCTTATAATCCCAAGCGGTAATCGGAATTCCAAGTGTCGTCTGCTAGAATGTATTCCAACGAATGAAGTCACGTGATCAACTAGCGGGTTCCGTGTCAGCAGAAAATTTCTATGGAACACAAAGTGGGCCATATTCTTATGTTGTTTCAGTGACTTTTAGCAATAAATCACGCTACGTATCATATTTTGTCGTCACTATTTTTTTTTTAAATCGTGGTTCTTTGAAGGAATTGTCACTAGTTATAATGAATTGATATCAAAGATAACTACTAAGAAAAGTTAATTATACCACCCGGTATCTATACAACGTGTTTTTCTCGACTTATTTATAGATCAAACATTGTACACGAAAATAGGTGACGCATTCTGCCGCCGTTGCCGAGTTGGTTGTTCATGAAATATGGGTCAAAGTGAAGGATTCATAAAGAAATCAAAATAAACCAATTTTAATTATTTTGTAGAATATCTGAGGAAACATCTAAGACATAAACAATTTTTTTCGTTTTTTTATCTTTGACGAAATTCAGTGTTGAATCCTTATATCCACGAAAATAGGTTACACCACTGTAATCATAATGACTTGATATTAAGGATAAATAGCCTACTAAGAAATGATAATTTTACCACTGAGTATTAACATGATTTAAAGAAACTGTTTTGAAGAAACTTCTCAGACATAAAACAAACAATTTTCCGTTTTTTAATTTTGTGTTGAAAGTTTTGAATCCTTATATACACGAATATAGGTTACACCAGTACTAGAACTAGGGCACTCTGCACTTCACTTATTTATTGGCTCCCGTCAAGGTCGTTTATTTTATCAATTCACTCTTTCATTGGA